AGAATTTTAAATCTCAGATTTGGATTTTCTTGCCCAAGTCAGGTTTCGTGATTCTTGGTGAAATCTTTTTTTTCCGAAACTCCAGGGGGCCTGGATGTCACAGTTGGATTTTGGGGACCAATTCAGGTTTAGGATGAGTGGTTTCTTGAGCCTATGGAGTTGGTCGGATCAAATGAGTAACCTAGCATTATTGAATTTAATTCAAATTCCAGTGCTTCTATCAGTGGTCTTGATTGTTTCCCAGTCTGGGTCCTAATGCCCCAGTACAGTGACGGGGACACTGTACTGTAAAAAGACGCCGTCCTTCGGATGAGACATCAAACCGAGTTCCTGACTCTCTGTGGTTATTTAAAAAAAGTTTCTCAGAAGAGTAAGGGTGTTATCTCGGCGTCCCGGCCAAATTTCTTATTGGCCTTTATCGGTATTGGCCTCCTGATAATCCTTGGAGATGAACTGGCTTCTTCACTCTTCTCTCCTCCCCACTGGTATGTGGGGAGCGGACTGGCACATCATCTGGTGGTGGTGGAGGAGAGTCCTCATACTTATAAAGCGCTTTAAATAGTGTCCAGAAAAGATCTATATAAGTATTAGGAATTATTATTAATATTATTGGCTAGTATTAGGATAGGGTTACAAGAACCATGACAGATTGACTGCCATTACTCTTCTAGTCAAACTTTAATTGACACAATTAAAAGTGTTTACCCATTAGAACTTATTTTCTTACAACTTTTGATTAGACTCATTTTTTACTATAACTGAATAACTGAACTATGCAATATGCAATGCAAGCAGCCAAAAGTCTCCAAAAATAGTTGGAGATAGGAGCAAATTATCACTCATCCAAAAGCTGTGCCCCAAACTCCAGTGCTGAGCATAACAAGTGCCTATGTAGAATGGGAAAGCTAACCCTAACCCTAGGTGGGATTTCAACTGAGCAGTCGCAGAATCTGTCTCTAAGGCCTTCCAGTCATCAGGTTTTGAAATGATCCCCAAAACCAAAAGATATGAGTCTGAAACAATCAAACCCATTGATAAAAGCGCATGGAAAGTTTTCTTCAATAATCTATAATTTTAAGTTTTATACCAAAGCACTTGCTTATTAAAATCAGAGATCCTGATTGATTTGACTATTTGCCTTATTTGAAATGGAAAAAGACAAATTTACTGGAGGGTGCTCTGTTTTATCACAGACACACCGACTCAATATTGTGTTAATATTGCTCATATAGAAATAATAACATGGGTAATGCTACCCCAATTAAACAAGGTGCTTGTCATGTAAATCCTATCAAACTAGAAGTATTAGTTCAAACAAGCAATAGTCCGTGGGGTTCGCCTTGTTTATTGGTACCAAAAGCTGAAAGGACATTACGGTTCTGTACAGATTACAGCCAACATTAGCAACGCAGCTCCCTACTTGAACCTCTTTCAGTCATTTTGAATGTAACCAAGTATGAGGATGTTACATCCCCCTGTGTTACATGGAACAGACAGCTTTGCTTCGGGGTGGGGGTTACCTGCCCTCTTCCTCACAGTTAGTCACACTTTAACATATGGCAGTCAGCAATCAAATGACCCATTTTACAAGAACACATATGTTTCCCTTAAGGGTATATACTGTAGTTTGAAAACGTGAACAAAGACTACATTCCCAATGTGCCACAAGCGTGAATCACATGAAGTCATATCCACAGATCTGCTGAACCAATAGTGTGCTTTACTGAGAAGGAGGCAAACATCATCAAAAAGAAAGCCTAGAACAGAGAGACCGTTTTAAAATCCTTCTTAAAAAAACAGCCTGTTAAACCGGAAGCTTCAAAGGCTTAACACTAAGCCTAATCTAAAAAGTGAAAAGACATTTCAATATTTTGTATTTGCCTGCAAGACTAGAGCCTGAAAACCAGACACTTTCAACACACCGAAGTCCTTCCTTTTTTCACTGTTGGCTCCCCATCTACTCCCCTCACATGAGCCCTGTTTTGTTTTTGCTTTGACATGAGGCTACCCTTCAGTATGGAAAAAACCTTCACCCCCACAAGATTCTGAGAAACATTCTTAACTCTCTTTTTGTGCCTCTTTGCAAATGTGAAACTCCAACTGCATTACGATGTTTCTTAGCTCTGTGAAGATGGCCCTCCTACAAACAACTCAATGAAGCCCATCATGTGTCAGTGCTCCACTTGTGCCGTTCAAAGTAGTGCCTGTAGTGCTTTCATTTCCAACATAGAGTGCCTTCTTTTTTCATGTTGTGATGTCACTCAGCCCTTCCACAATGGTGACAGCAGTCATGTGACTCCCTGACAAAAGGCGGTGCCATCGCTACGCTCAGGTTGGGAGCGGCCAGCATCCTGATGTTTTCCAGACCAACCTGTACATTTGCACAGAACTCACTCGGAAAGCATATCTCAAAGGCCATCAATTTTAATAGAGAGGGACCCTCCCAAACTCAGTAAGACAATAAAGGACACCATTTAAGGATGTTTTTCCACTTATCCAGTGCTCTAACAGTGAGCTAAACATTCAGTGCTAGCTTCACAGTACTGAGATGCTCACCTGACACATGCTGTTTTGTTAGTTCCGGACAGCTTCTCCACACCTTTAAGGCAGCCTTTTTCCTGCTCAGTAATAATTCTTCGATGCCAAATAGCCTGCAAACAGCTGAGCCTTTCCCAAAGACTCCGCAGGCTTCTCTATGATCCTGTGCTTGGAGCTCAGCTTGCCCTTTGCCATGGATCCGAGTCTTCAGGGACCGCAGTATTATAGCTGTATCTTGCCAATGAATGCAGTGCTAACTCTTTACTTTCAACGTCACAAACTTCAACAAATGGGGAGCTAACAAGTATGGTGGGTTATAGTTTTTGCTTTTTGTTAAGGGTGGCAACTTCTTAAGCGTTTGTTTCTTACCAGCTTCCTTTGCACTAAATCTCAATCAAAAGGTGAACTTTTAGCTGTCCTTGGTCACTTAAAATACACTACAGACATCAGTCTTCAGGGGCACACTTTCACGTCTCTGCTTTTTGGCAAATAATATTAAATTGGTTCAAATAGGGAGCTCTGTCAGCATGTGTAGAGTGCAAAGGAACAAGAAAAAGAAAAGATGCACCATTTCAGCTGAAGAGCCTTCTTCAGGCACAAGGAAGGTCTTCAGGTGTGAGTGAACCCGAAGAAGGTTCCACAGCCGAAATGTTGCATCTTTTCTTTTCAGCATAATAAAATTAGGTTTATGCTCCTTTTGTCTTTAACTTGATTAATCATTATATGCAGAAAGCCTTGCAGTGCTTTTAGCATTACCTGCACAATGCATTTTTGTAAGCTGCTACCCACCCTTACTACTGTTAAAGACATTTTAAAATATTTTTCATGAAAATGGCTTCTCATAGGAGAATTCATGTGGATGTTCAGAGGGCTCAAAGAATGACTAGTCTGGTGAGGGGAGTGCTGGTGCAGACAAAGCAGAAAAGTCCAGTGTTCCAGCTTGCTCTGCTGCTTCAGTGTCAAGAACTTGTTTTGAAGAGAGAACATCTCCCAGACTCACTTCAATAACTTTTTTCCTACTTAAACTAAGATAGGACTAGTAACTATGAATACTGTAATTATTTGCTCAGCAAAGAGCACTGTCACACCCTGTTCTTCTTACACTGGTGGCCCAGGGTTTTTGTGGTAACCTTACCACAAATACAAATAATGTGCAACTCAACATTATAAGGGTGTTATGCATCCTCAAAAAGGTTATTTCAAATTTAGAGGCAACCATCTGTATCGACTTCTTTCCCACCTGGGATATGAAGTTGCTGTCTTGAGGATTATGAGGACAAGTGCTGTCTGTACATGAGGTCTCCCTAGCGACTCCAAGAGGACCAACTAAAGAATGGAAGAGCTCTCATGTATCCCTCACGATACTGAACAGCCACACCTCTTACCAAATTTCTTGTTGGGGCCTAGTTTCAACTTGTCCTTGTAACAGGTGGGGATCAGTGGAGCTTACTCAGCCAGGGTGTACTCGAGTAGTTGCAAGAAAGCAACAGCAGCATCACTATTTCATCACTGAAAACAAAGTACAGTACACCCTAGGTTCAATGGACTAAAAAGGGGAAAAGCAGTACCCATAAAAATCACAAAAATCACATAACACAATTAGGAAAAAAATGTGAATGCAAAGATATATATTTCACCTTGAGCAAAATGTAGCCATTAAATCCAAAGTCCGTTAAACAGAGGGTTTACTGTACTCAAACAGAGTTCCAGATACATGTAAATGCATCATTAAGTGAGAACCAAATCAATTCTCTCAATTATGCTAGCTCTTCTGCACACCTGAACTCCGCATACATGGAAAAAAAGGGATTGAGTACCTAAAATTATACAGTCTGCATTCTGCCCAGTGGTACTACAAGGGATAAAGTCTTGAGTGATGTTAACACCTGGTGAGCCACAGCATACAATTGTCAGAAACACATTAAACAACCAGCAGTTTCAGTACAAATGAATGAGTCATGACTGTTTCTTAAAGAAACTACATTTTATTTTTTTCAGATCATGGATTTGGTGAATTACAAAAGCGAAAGAAGGTAGCGGATTGGCTCTGTGAGTCAGTGCCTTCCCTTTGTTTGGCATATCAGCTCTACCTGTCCCACTCAATGGGGTTTAGGAGGCAGGGCTTCATTGGCAAAGAGCAAGACAGCTGACCTTCGACTCAGCCAATCAGCAGCCTTGGTTTCAGCTGGGCCGAACCACCTGTTTCAGAAAGAGCTGCTCAAGCCTCGATCTGAGACAAGGGGGTAGGGAGCCACCTGTATATATATATATTACTGGACAGCAGAACAGCACGGGTGTATACAGGGAGCACCCAAACACAGCTACAAATAATTTGATATACAGGCTAGCAAAAAACATCTGAAAAATGTACAATCTTCTTTTAATGTGCTTGATATGGAAGAATTAAAGCTTCATTCAAACTACCAAGGGTTACAAATTGAACAAATCCCCGAAGAAAAATTCTAAAGCACTTCAAATGATTCTTAGCCTGAAATCTCACTCCATGGCATTATTGTGTTTAGCAATCACTAGTAAAATAGTAAAGCCACTTGTACCATAATATAAACCAACAGAAAACTAAGCAGTGGGATTCCTGACGAACACACAGCTCTACTTTTCAAACAATCCTGCACCACAGTGACTTACCATGATTGAACAAGACTCGGATACCACCTCTCATCTACCCCAATGCAGGATTATTGTATAAACTGTTTCTTTGCCAATTTGACTATTGAATTAACTTAAATGCAAGAACCGTTAAGGAGATACCTGCAGCAAGCATAGATGAGGGTACACAGTGTGGCAACAGGCTACTTCTTCTCAGCCCTGCAGTGAGCACTGCACTCTGACTATGCAACTCTACAGACAGGTTTCACTTTCTAAAGGGCAACATTTATTGGCAAACCTTTCGGTTCAAAGCTCTTGCCACATTTCTCCCCCTAGACCAAGCCGAAAGGCTACATTGTGCATGTTGAACAGACATGCCCTGGCCAGAAAGCCTCTTTGGACCCAATTAGTTGTCATCTCCAGTCCTTGTTGGAAGCATGCTTTACAGATTGGACTTTAGCAACTTAAACACATACTAACCTGTAAACATTTAAGATATATTCTATTTTGCATTTCATCATTGTAATGTACTCAACAGGACCACATGAGCCAATCAATATAAATTACCATTAACTTATCAGGATCCAATTTAATGATCTGATCATTTTCCAGCCGTTTGCATACTGAAAAGTTCATTTTGAACATGCTCCTGCCAATTAAGAGGCAAAATGGAACTGCTCTTCCTGAAAGTACCCTTACCCTGTCATAGCCTTTACATTTCTAGAGTAGAAGCAATCAATTTTACAACCTCTTAGAAAAACATACATTTTCAATAAACAAGTACCAATCTGTTTAGCACTAGATTGTAACAAAGAATTTCGCTTTCGCTAGTGCTTGCTTGCTGTCTGAAAAGACTTTCAGGTCAAGGTCAACGTGGTCAAGCAACTTCCAAGAAAAGGACATATGTTTTATCTCTTGAATTGACTTTTATAACTTATTTAAAATTGCCTTAATGAATGCTTATTTTTGAAAACAACTGAATCACAAAGAATTGAAAGGATTCTAACAGATAAGCAAAAGATGAAAGCATTAAACAGGTGTAAATAAATCCATTAATTCTAAATAACATACCCGAACAACATGTTCAGGTATGTCAAGAAGTACTAACAGTTCAGAAGTCATTAGAGGTCTACCATGTTATCAAATTTAAGAACCCTGGTCTGAGTCCACATTAAAGCAAAACTTCCACCTACCTGCTAAAAATCAATTCTGAACCCAGTATTAGGTGGGATGATGTTTTTGTTTTTATTTATTTAGACCAATTCCCAATTAGTCAACAACAGATTAATCTGATTTCACCAACCCCAGCACAGCACAGTGCAGTAAGGTTTGGTCAGAAAGACACAATGACTAGGGAGAAAGCCTTGAGTTCACCCTCCCTCCCACCAGTTAAAAAAAAATATTTTTGGTCTGTTGCTCTCAACCTAACGGCTGAATAGGGAAGCAGAGTGGACACTTGAGCCTTCAGGCATAAAAAAAGAGGGAGATAAGTGTACACCTGTTCAATGCTCACAGAGCTGGGAGGCAATGACAGCTTCATTCACTTTTTAAAAAAAAACCACTGTAGTCACCCACAATCTGCACAGTCGTAAAAGCACAGCACACAGATGTATAGGAGTTGAAAAGGGAATTATCCGTTATTACATCTCAAACTAGAAAAAAGAAACATTAACGTGCATGTACACATTCAGAAAAGGAAAGGCCTCAGGTTCGAAAGCCAGTCCGGAAGAGGGCTGCTGCACAGTAAGGCCACGAGGACACAATCGGCTGTCAATGAGAAGAGAGGGCAGCGGTGCTGCAGTGTTCTTGCGATGCAAGGAAAAGACACAGCGGTAGCAGTAATGAGTGCAGGAGTGATGGGGAGAGAGGCAGGCCGAAGAAAGGGAGGAGGAGGGAGGGAGAAGGTTTTCAGAGCTGTTCTCAGGACAGGGGTGGCTGGATTTCAGGGCTGGGATTAGTATTGCTGTCCTGGGAACAAGCTGCCCCCCTGGGTGCCACCTCGATGATGCGCGGCTTGTCGATGATGCGGGCACTACGGTTACCCTTCTCCACGATGCCAATGATCCAGGCCTGATGGCCCTCGCCGTAGCGGGGAGACTTGATTTCAGCACAAAACCGTGCAGCTTGTTCCCGAGGCAGACAGATCAGCAGACCCCCTTAAAAAGAAAGAGACCACCAATAATTCTCACACTATCCACTGGTACGGCTTAATAATCAGACACATTCCTGAGAGAGGTAAGTTACTACACTCATCCTGCTCGCCTGCTGTGGTGCAATAATAATGCTATATTGTAAGGAAACTTGGCTAATAAAAATTGGCCAAATAAAATTAAATATGCTTGAGGACCGTGGAAGGCACAGTGGTACAAACAATTGGTATACTGCACAGTAGTTTAACAGTGTGTAGTGAGTACAGACCAACACACAATGTGCTGCATAACCAGCAAAGTGCACTTTGGGAGCAACGTACAGCTTCATCTGTCTTACCAGAGGTCTCTGCAGATGTGCCCTGCAATAACCCGAACAGGACGCCACAGGCCTTGCTGACAGCAGCCATCTTGGCAATGATGGGCAGGTTGTGGATGACAAAGGCCACCTCATTGTGTTGGCGCCTGGCCAGGTTCTGGGCGTGACCGAGGATACCGAACCCTGTGATGTCTGTAGCTGCGTGGGCGTTGAAGGTGTGCATGAGTCCTGCCGCTGAGGAGACAGAGATATAAACCGCTTTACTACATTGGCATCAAGTCATCAGTTTACAGCTGTATAAGTGCATCACTATACAGTTGCTCACTAGTGCCAGGCCAAGATATATTTGTGTGAAAAGCGTACCAGCAAGCTTGCTTTAGTGATACACTTGTTGGAGTTAAATCAAAATACAGTAGTTCAGGTTTGCAAGTATTCTAAAGTCAAGCTGACCTGTCCTGTTGAGCATAGCCATATTGAACATGGCCTCCTGGTATGCCATCTCCACCTCTTCTTTTGAAACCACAAGCTTGATCTTATTCCACTTGTCCGGCTGAGAGAGAGTAAAAAAGAAAGACATATGCCATTGAATAATTGAATTCTGCCTTCTCCTGCAAATCTGCTGCAGTGCTCTCAATTTTCTGCAGAGCCAAAAAAACCTCATTTCTGAAGGTGAAATTACACCGCCTTCCAGACATTACAGACTCAGAGGACAAAGGTGGTCTTTTATCACAGTCTTTAATATATTAGGCCCAGGCTTGTTTAAATTTTCATTTATTGTTGAAGTGTTTTTGCATCTTTTAATTTATACATTTTTAAGGAATGTCAAAAAGTGAAAAACGATACCATTGTTGTATGACACACAAACCCAAAAGTACTACACACTCCAAGCTGATGCCTGCAGCCAGCCTTACCATGTCCAGCCACTGGTGGGCATTCACTGCCACCTGAGTCCCTAGGGGCTTGGTCAGCACCAGCACATCTCCCGGTACAGCATTGTCCGGCCTGAGGGGAGTCGGAGATTAACACACACACACACCACACCCTGATGCACACAAATACTATGCCAAGGCAGGGACAGAAGGGGGATTCTAATTACACAAAGCAGCAAAGAGGAAAATACGACTGACAAGCATGTCATCAAATAATTGTGTGGGACACTGAAAGGGTTCTCACATGATGAAGTCGTTGGGTTGACACACCACTGTAGCCACTCCCCCAATGATGATCCAGGGGTTTATCACCGTCTGCCCCCCTGTCACAGAGGTGCCTCCCTCCTCCGCCGCGTCCCGGAAACCTCGCACCATCAGGGGCATGACCCGCTCCCGCTCCTGAGAGAGAGAGTTTAGCACTGCACACACTGCCACACAATGGCGAAAAGGCATAACCACCCGCAGTGCACCGACAGCAGCACAAAGACAAGGGAGCATTATACACATACACGCCTTTCACCAACAGCTCCTCACATTTCCAGTGAGCGCCTGCACATGTTTAGCCTCACTGTCTAGTGCACTACCACCCACAGATGAAGATAACTGAAAAGGATTTACCACATCTTTCAGTATAATTATTGGACAATATACCTTGCATTCATTTTTAAAAAGTTAATTATTGAAATTATCCACCATCTGTTCAAACCACATACTAGTTTAAACTATTATTTTACATAACAATTTGGCACATACAGACCCATCCATTCTGCTTGAAATCAGTAAAACCAGTAAAATCCCTAATACACCAGTACACCAGCCCAGTCAGTCCAGTTCACCAAATTTTCACCAAAAAGTCAGCCAAGTGGCTGATGTCATAACATGAGTGACTATGTCTAGATAGCAAACTGTTTTGAATGTGTCATTTTTAGTTTCTACTATGTGAATATAAAAATAAAACAAAAGGATTATTTTCTGTTTGTGCAATTCATAAGACAATATTCCTACAAAAAATGTTTGTTTACCAATTTTTTGCTCCAACAAGGTTAAAAAGAAGAGTGAAACATCTCTCCTCTGACTTGCGGGACACTGCGCTGCTGCTGCTGCTGCTGCTGCTCCCCAACGGCAGCAGCAGGGAGATCAGTGACCACAGGGACACCTGCTCCAGCCCCGAGTCCAGCTCAGACAGCAGGCTGCTCGGCGCAGATGTCTCTGTGCTCTAGAAGTGAGAACTCACCTTCTCACTCATCCTCTGGCTAACGCTCAGGAGCATCAGCATGTTGTCGCACTCGGTGATCCCCATGGCGTACAGGTCACTCAGCACGTTGGCACAAGCGATCCGGCCCTGAGGAGCAACACAGCATAGTGTGTAGTGCAGCCAGCCACCCACAGGACACCCCCCACCGAGACGGGAGGGGCTGACAGAAAGAATCCCTCACCATCATGTAGGGATCCTCCACCAGGGGGTAAAAGAAGTCAGTGGTCTGCACCAGCGAGAGCCCCCCATGTCGCAATGGGGTCACCGAGCAGTCCATCCCGATCCCTGAAAAAACAAGTTGAGCCAATGAATTAAACTATCCACACAAAAGAAAGACTTCCAGTAAAGCATAATTTGCTCCACGTTTCCAAGCTATAGGCACTTGTATATATATTACATTGCGTTAGATGCATTGGTTGAGAAGCTATCTATTAATTTACTGAAAACAGGACAACTGCTTTGGAGCTGCGTCAGCATGCGTATGCTGCGAAGGAACAGGTAAAGGTTTATCTGGGTGTGTGAAGAAGGCTCCACAGCCAAAATGTTGCATCTCTTGTCCTTTCAGCGTGGAATAAACCTTTACCTGTTCTAGAACAGCTTTTCTGCTTCAACAGTACAACAGGAGCAACTGGTGCAGAATGGGGAGGGTACACAGAAACAAGCTCTTAGCACTCATTCAAGATGAAAAGCTGCATGAATGCAGCAAATTACATTTTAAGGAACCCGTATTTTAAAAAATCTTTAATAGATTAAAATACACACACTAAAGGTCTTGATTCTGCTAATCCTTCAATAGTGTGACAGTAGTGACCACAGTGCAGCAATTAAGCCATATAAATATGGAAATGAGTCCTGGTCCCAGTGAACCAGCAAATCTGTAGGCTTCCTAGGTCTCGTTAAAGCATCAAATGTTCAATCCTCAGCAATAAGACCGGATCCACATGAGCCAATGATGGACTGAATTAGATCAACAAGAGATGAATAATGGGGGAACTTTCACATATACTGACCTACAGGACCTAGACTGGACACTCCTGACTCAGTGCTGTGATGGGGTAACACATTTAGTGGAGTACCACAGGGATTTGTACAAGGACTACTGCTCTTCCTAATTTATATCAAAGATTTAGTTTCTGGCACAGTTAATAAACTTAATAGATTGATAGATAATACTTTATTAATCCCGTAGGGAAATTAATGTTAAACCTTCAAAGATTCAGATCAAATTCAAGACCGACCAAACACCGGTCAGACGTGTGTAGACAAGTGCAGGGCTTTGCAAACCGGCAGTCGGAACTATAAACGTAAAATGGGAAACTGAGATAAATGAGTGTACTTCTGAAAATTATGTTTGTGTTGACATATTGGCCACATCTTCAATACAATGTGGGGAAGCAATAAAAATAGCAAACAAAATGTTAGGAGACACAGTTAGAAGTGTATTGTTTAAATCTAGAGATGTGAAAATTATATTAGGCAGTAGTAAGGCCTTATTTAGAATATTGTGTACAATTTTGATCACCCCGTTACAGAAAGGCTGTTGCTTTTCCGCTGCTCAACAGATTTCCCTTATTTGGAGGTGCATATAAAATTTCTTTAAGCAAAGGGATGTGGAAGGGGTGTGGAACAACCTGCCCTTCCATCTCGACAGAGCTCATTCCCAGGGGTTCCTTCAAGAAAAAGCTGGATGAGATCACTGGATTAATAAACTACTACCTATCACACAGACTAGATAGGGTGACTGACCTCCTCTGTTTGCTGACATTCCTATCTCCATAAGTTACAACATCCCAGAGGGACAGACGACAGATTCCTAAAAATAATATTTATATACCAGTCTTTTAAGTCTATGAAATCAGGATAATTGTACTAGTATTCTTTTTTTTCCCCCCACTGGAAAGGGAAGTCATTATAAAATGGCAAATTCCTCAAGTGAGTTCCTGTTATCACTGTGAGCTGCAGTCTTACTGGAGAGTGTGTTAATCCTAAAAAACTGAAGATTTGACAATTAACTAGACTGGAATCTGGAGAAGGTCAGAGTGTAGCTGGGGCAAAACCACAGTGTCTGTCTGCTCAAAGAGCTATGGAGTAACATACCTCTCTCACGGACACCTCCAGCTCTGTGTTGTACATCGTTCACAAAAGCAGACCGTCTAATATCAGAAGCACAGAAGCTCTACCACAGGGTCTCCCAGCTCCGGGAGGCAGAGTAAGAGAAATTAGTGCATCAAAACCCCACTTTGACCAACTTCACTGTTCTCTCAGGAGAAAAGCCAATTAGAACCGAAAGAGATCAGGAAAGGGTCCGGGTTCCAGAAACCCCACTCTGCCATCACGTCTGTGTAGACGACAGAGTTGGGAAAAGGGACGTCCAAGCCCTGGAAGTGACTGCTGGACAATGTATAGACATTCCTAATAAATCCATCAACTGCAAATTATGCATCCCATTGCATGAACTTATCTTTCTGCTTCAACAGTGCAGTTTATAAGAAGATACTTTAGCTTTTAAAATTTGGAATAGAACAAAAGGATGTAACAGGAATTACTATCCATTTCTTCATCAACGTAGTCAACTTCTAAGTCTGCAGAATACCCGAGACGCTCACCGGATTCGAAAGCCAAGCGCCCAGTTTCACCACGAAGTTGCTCGAACGCAGCACTAAGGCGTGCATTCGTGTTAGTCAGAGATCACATCGCCTGAAAGCAGCGAGGCGCCCAGTCGCTGACAGCACCGAATAACGGAGCAAAGCCGCGTTGCAGTTTTGCACTTTGACCCCCGTTTTTTTTCTACAGTTATATGATCTTTACCAATATCCTTTAAACTGATCTTGCACCGATCACCAGAAAATGTATCAGATAATGTGCAGTGAGTCGGTGTGCTACTGGTCACCAGCGCGGACGGCACCACAGCCGGCCTGTGCAGCCGCGTCTCACCCAGGCGAGGGCCCTGCAGTACGGCCCCCAGCTGCTGGTACTCCGCGGCAGCGCTGTCCTCCCCGTCGCCGCCCGGCGGCCGGTCCGGCTCCAGTCCCTCCAGGAGTTTGAGCAGGGCCTCCTGAGGGACCTTGCAGCCTCATCCCTTCAGGTCCGAGAAGGCCGTGAGCCTGAAGCCGGGTTCCAGGCCGTGATCCTCGGGGTCGAACTGGCGGTAGCCGCCCGGAAACATCCCCAGTCCGGGGCTGGAGTCCGCTGGAGGAGTCGGCGGAGAAGAGGCCGACATCGGAGAAACGCAGTTACCGTCTGTTAAAACAAGTAACTCGGGGATGTATTTTAACCCCCGCCTACTTGTCTCCAATAACCAAAGGTGGCTTATTTGATGGTAAACGGAAGAACTGAGTGAAATTAAAACAGCGCTCTCCTGCTGGCTGTACCATCATCGCCACGGGGGGTTCATGTAAATTCATAGTTATGCTATCGTTAACAAATTAATTTAATCTAAGGCACTTGACTATAGTAGAATATACATGTAAATATCATTATATAATATCCTATTTTATTAACTATACTGCTGTAAATAGTGTTTCAGTGTCCGAGCAGTATTAATAATACCCCTGTGTAGAACTGAGAAGTGGGACCTGACCGCCGGCTCTCCGGAAAGGGCCGAGGGAGAGGAACCGAGTTCAGCCGAAATTCGAGACAAAGTGCGTGCAGTACCCGGAGCAGCAGGTGCGCGGTCTGAAAGACATCATGTACTCCAAGTTAATGAAAAACAACACACTCGACCGCTTTTCCTTCGGTATACCGAGGTCCTGCATCATCATCATAATAATATTTATAAAGTGCTCTGCATGCGGTAGGGGGCCACTCCATCCAGTGCGACTCCACCTGCGAGACTCTGCAGTTGCAATTCTCCACCAGCAGCCCCGCTCACAGCAGATTGGGGGCTTTGGCGTGGACTCATTGTACAGGACCTATAGCTTCAACCCCCTACTGGTCAGACCCCGCGCTGCTGGGCTCAGACTGACAAGATGTGGCTACAAAGTGAAAACATTACGTAAAAAAAAAATTGAAATCTGTATTTCCGAAAGCGTTAAATTATTTTTTAAAGAGTCTTTTATGTGTGTTAGTCTAAATGCAAACATTTCTGCTCACACCTGAAGAAGGCTCCACTGCCGAAACGTTGTGTTTTCTTTCTTCTTTTATCAGCAGGGAATAAACCTGTTACTTGTTGCTTTGCAGCCTACGCATGCTGACGCGGCTCCCCACCTGAACTAAATGCAAAAATATACTTATTCTAAGTTGAGTGATTTGAAAAATTGTTTTTTTTTCACTCTTGTTATATCTTATTGTTGGATTCTCTGTAAAGCAGTTTTATGATGCATAAAAACTGTTTTATATTAGAGATGTATAATTATATTAGGAATGGATAAACATAATTCTATGTTTGGCTAAAACAACTCCATAATCGGCATCAAGCAAACACTTTCATTTGATCAAAACTCAGATGTTGCTGTATCCATAATAAACCTCCAAGAAGCAATATTAATATATATGCTCATTTAAATGTCTATAAATGTAATTTTATGTAATTAATATATAAACACATTTAAATGTCTATAAATGTAAATTGTGAGACTTTTAATGCAAGTATTTAACCTGTAACGATTACCTTAATCATCTTGTAATCTACATTAAGCATTTTGCTGCAGTATATAATTTCTGTCACAAGACTGCCCTTGTTTACCACAACCACATGGACCCTTATGCCACCATCCACCTTTGCAAATATTGCTTAATTTTATTTAAAAGACAGTTCGAAGTGTATTTTAACATTACTAATAAATGATAAATTTGCTTCTACTGAAGTATTTGGTAATCCCAGTTTGTGATGGGCTTTAAATGACCCATTTTCTAACAGTACCAGAAACTGGATCAAACACAGAATGAAGAACAGGAACAGTCCACTGATCAGATCACCCCATCTTACACTTTCATCCTTTATCTGCACTGGTGTATGTCCATTAGTCAGCCCTTAATCCAACCACCTGTTTGCCCAAATGCTTACTCCGTATTATAACTTGAAAATTAAGTGTTTGAGGAACTTTATAAGAAAAAAAAATCCTTCTGAAAACAGAAGTACACCATATTCTATGCTCTATGGATGTGGTCATTACCGTTATCAGTTTTAAGAACTCTAGTCGACTAGTAAATCTAAAACTATGCTGAGTATCCCCCAAGATCTTATTTCCTAATATAAGAGGTATTCCATTTCAGCTCTTAATTATTTTCATGGTTATAGAAATAAAAATAATTTAATAAGAGCTTTATAAGAAGAATTACTGGTCCATAATTACTTCACTTCTGTCCCTCTTATTCTAGATGGACACTACAAGTAATTATTGATTCAGTAGTCCTACCCCTATCTTCAGAGACTATTTAAGAGCCATTTTGTCTTATAACATTAGCAGGATGCCATTGGGCCCTGGAAAAACACATATACCTTGTTTGTCTCTACTATTTCATTCAGGACTTTCACCTTTGGCTCCCCGAGTCATGTTTTCTTGTGATGAACATGTGGATGAAATACTCATTTAGTACAGTACGGCATAAAAATGGTTAAAATCTATCAATCCATTCAACCCATCTAACACATCTGGAAATAATGATACAAGAACACGGCTGGTGTGTATATAGCACACACCTACCAACCCCCTGTACAAAATAACATCCACCTGAACAGAGCCGAAGTGCGCCTGAAAGAATTAAGCCACATTTAAACCCCGACAGAATCAGTAGAACATGTTAACTACAATTATACACCAGGTATATTTTGTAGAAATCCCTCTTAACAGTTTATACACTTTCTGATTTAATAGATCTGAGTAGAAATGAGAGGAGAAGACTGTTTCTGTACAAAAAGATTTTATTCAGAGTAGCTAAATCATCCAGCTTCAGATCATATTTCCTTTTCCCAGACCAGCCAAACTTGATCCCAGCATGTTCAACAGGAAAGCAGCATCAGTCCATCACTGTGTCCTTTGGTCTTGTCCACCTTTAAGCCTGTATAGTGCTCTTTGCACTGAAAGCCAGGTAATATACAATGATCCCAATTGCAGCAGCTAGTACCTCCGTCGACACCCAAGGACCACTCCACACTCCCTGAGAAGGATAGAATTCATGTTAAATGCAAAGATATGACAACATGAAGGCCAATGTGCACAGCAGAATTTTTGCAGGAACAAGGTCTGCATACTCAAACACACCACCAGGAGTCTCCAAACCTACCCGGTGATCCACGTTGACAGTAAAAAGAGGCTTGATCGAGGCCACATCCTCATTGTTCCTCTGAGCCTGCATGCAGATGTAGAGAAAGAAAGGGCCTGGTCAGTAGATCTATATGAGAAAATTACTGATGAAGAATTTGTGATGCCCAATGAGCAATATTCGATTCTCACAACACCCGACTTGCAGTGTAAACAAAAGAGTAAGGAAGACCACAAGTGAAAAGGAGCCCATGTGTTGCTTCATCTAAGTGATCCAGGGATCTCATCAAGAGTTTAGGGTGTTCATTTTGACCACATGGCTGATCTGCTAGTTCAAGAATCCACAACTCTATGTAAAGGATTGTGAAGACTTAAATAAGTTTGCTTCAGTCTTTTCCACTTAAAACTTAAAAGCCTGTCAGTATGACATTCCTTTTACCCTAGTATTGAATCTGGTTTATTTTCTCTGAATTTATACCAGAGCAGCAATGTTCTTTTTGTAACATGTTGACCAAACGTGTACACCATATTCAAACTAAGGCCTTACTTATCCATTGTAGAATTTTAACTTAGCTTTCCCTGAACTCAATACTGCATTTAGATCAGCTGAATTCTCTATGTTCCCTGTGAGGCTCTACTGATCCGTACATCATTCACCCCCAATCTGTACTGTTTTCCACTCATTTACTAGTTATCTGTCGAAATGCATGGATTACCTTGAATGCCTAATGCTTTTGGATCCTCATAAAATATTATCAAGTCTTCTGAAAATCAATATACATAATATTATGAGTGCAAATATTGCAAAAACTCTCTTAATATATCAGCAGTCTCTCTTTCATCTAAATGTTATACATCACCTCCAAGACGCTCCATCCTCCACTGTTCTTTTGCTTTTATTACACTGAATAAATGTCAGCTCCCACTCCAATATGCTTGTTTCCCTCTCAGCTCAATATCACATTTACCTGTGCTTGAAAATTCATCATTAACCTGTTCTTTTTTTTCCCCAGCACGTTTCCTTATTTTATAAAACCATCTGAGCTGCTGCTTCCCTGCAGTTCAGGCAGGCAGTGTGAAGCATTGCCCTTCATTCTCTACTAGGTATCCAGCACTCTGCTCACACGTCACAGCCTGCTCCTGAAATTGTTTTGGGCTATCTGTGCATTCGAACTATGCATCAAATCGTACTGTATTATGATCACAGTTCCCTGATGATTCTCAACTTCTATAGCAAGAATTTTACTGAGGATGCCCTGCAGGTCTGATGAGATCTGTAATCACTACTATATAATCATAATAAACTTTATTTGATATAGCACCTTTAAAGGTGGCTTCTCAAAGCGCTATACAGGATGACAATAACAATAAATAAGAAGAATACAACAATAAATAAGGAGAATACCCAAGATTAGGGTTGCTGCTGGAAGAGGTGTTAGTGGGGCCATCAGGGGGCGCTTACCCTGCGGTCCATGTGGGTCCTAATGCCCCAGTATAGCAACGGGGACACTATACGGTGTAACCCCGGCGTCCTGGCCAAATTTCCCATTGGCCCTCACCAATCATGGCCTCCTAATAATCCTCATCTATGAATTGGCTACATTACTCTGCTCTCCTCCTCACTGATAGCTGATGTGTGGTGAGCGTTCTGGCACACTATGGCTGCCGTCGCATCATCAGGTGGATGCTGCACATTGGTGGTGGTGGAGGGGATCCCCATTACCTGTAAAGCGCTTTGAGTGGAATGTCCAGAAAAAGCGCTATATAAGTGTAAGCAATTATTATTATTAGACACAATTACAATATATAGAGGAGACCGTGGAAGGTGGTACTAAGAAAAGCAGAAGGGTAAAGAATGGAACCAGTTAAGTAAAGGCTTTTCTGAAGAAGAGGGTTTTGAGTCTGGATTTGAAGGAGTTCAGAGAAGGTGACTCCGATATCCTTGGGCAAAGAGTTCCAGAGCTTGGGGGCATAACAGGAGAAGGCCGTCACCCACACAATGTAGACGGGCTTGGGGGACAGTAGGAGGGCAGAATTTGAAGAGCGGAGGTTGCGAGGTGGGGAGTAGGGTGATAATAGTTCAGACAGGTACTGAGGTGCCAAGCCATGCAGAGCCTTGTAGGTTAATATATCACTATATCACTGCATCTTACAAATAAATAAAACAGGAAATGTCTCTGACCTTGCGGAGTGCACTGTACGATTCCTCATCAAAGAACTTCACCTCATAGCGCCCTGAGCTTGCCTGCTTGTGGGGCATGCTCCATGACACCTGAAACACAGGATGGTGAGAGACTACAAACAAAAAAAGGATTTCTGAAGACACGGGGAGAACGAGAGGGTCGTGTGTAAACTTCTAACCTGATAACGCCCAACATCCTGGCCTCTGGTGACTGGAAACTGCTTGCCATTGACATCAGCATACAATGCCACACTCTGAAAGAGAGAAGAGCTGAAGTTGGAGAGAAAATAGGAGGAGATATGACTACTCTGTGCAGCACAGTCGCTCTCTGCAGTACCTGCGCTCCGTTGCGACAGACCAAGCTGATCTCCACAATGAACACGGACTCGGAGGAGATCACCGCGTCAGAACTGGTGTAGTACGCCGGGGTGATCGCTGGCTCCAAGCAGCTCTCGCCTAAAAACACAAACAGTCTCTGAAATAAGGACAACAAACAATACAAGCATGCGGACATCCAGGATTAACAGCCACATCCACAGTCACCATCACACACAGAAAATCCCGAGCAAGCAACAGATTGCTAAAGCAAAGCAGACTTAGACCACTCCATCGACACCATTGTGACCACAACACGCAACACGGATACAACTTCAACGTTACGAAAGATTTAAAAAATAAAAAAAAGAAAGACTGGTAAAAGAAAGACTTAAAAGAATGTGTTCCTTCGAGACGGAACAGCTGGTTTCCATATCCGAGAACAGAGGATTAATTTCCTCGCCGATCACCGCGGCTTACTGGAGAATGTTTTAAAACTACTACAGTATATCTCCTGCAAAAGTGCCCACGGCGACCCCCCATCTTCTAGATTTAATCATTCAAAATGGTCACACAAACAGCAACATGAACATCGTGTCAAGTAGGTAATATCGAGCTCGGACACAACACTGGCTAATCCTATTACACTTACCTGAACACAGAGTAAAACACAATACCGCTAAAACAATCGCACTGATTTGATTCATTTTTCCAGTTTACTGAAGCTCTCCGTCCCCTGTCCAGCAATCCTCTCGCAGCTGCTCAGCCTCAAAGAGGAAGGACAGCTCAGCGCTCGCTCGCACAGCCTTTTGGGATGCAGGCGGACCGCCGCGCTGTCCCTAAGAACACGTCACCACTCGACTGCACACAGGAGCGGCCTCTAGCGGTACACTATGGAATTCCGTCCCTCCTGCTGGAGGCGCTCGGATCCTTCTGTACTGCAGGACAAAACCAAAGCAGATAACAAAGAGGGAGACGTGGGGAAAACATGCAGACTGTCTCCAAACTGCACGGGCTCACGTCTGCACTGCTGCTGTGCCCCTTGGTAAGGTGCTCAGCCCTGCTGCTCCAGTGCGCCCACCTGTACCAGCAGGTCCCAGCTGCACCAATGAAACACGACAACCAGATGAGATCCAGCTGCAGGAGCCCCTGCACTCTGGCATTGACTTGACCTTCGCTACACTTGCAGTCAGCAGTCAATGACTGTGCAAATTTACCCTCACACAATGGTCATGTATAGTTCCCAATTTTTAATAATTTGATGAACAAATCTTTAGCGCCAATGAGAAAAATACATATAAATCCTGAAGGATTTTCTCTCTGCAGGTCTAAGACTGCACCTCACGCTGTACTGCAGTATTATCCTTCACCTACCTTCCAGGTTTGACACTAGAGACAAGAGGCACAGCCAGCTCAACTCTCGGAGAGTCCCTGGATCCATCTGTCCAGCCACTTTCTAACTACTTTATCCAACAAAAGGTTACTGCTGCTGTTTCAGAATGACCAGCAAATCTTGGCTGTGGTCCAGAAGAGACGGGCACTAAAAACCTCATCATCTCAGTGTTATTGAAATGGTTTTAACCTGAAAGAACTTACCTGTAGTAGTGGTAAGCAGCATTCCAAAATCTCTACTTGAGTGGCAAATTTATATTCATTTAACAGGTTTGCATTAAACAACATTTTGACTAATATTCAAAGATGAACGTCTACAGGTAAGAGCAGGTTATACGAACTTCTTTATTTTTATATAAACAGTTGTGAGAAAACATTTGTGAATTATCTGGATTTCTGCATGAATGGCTCCTAAAATGTGACCTGATCTTCATC